TGATGCAGAGATTATAGACTCTTATTAAAATATGAGCACAAAGTTCAAACCCAAGTAACTCATAGAGAAATATATACAGCAAACTATCACCCAAGGCTCATGATCACTTAAAAAGAAAAAAAACAACAAAAAAAAACCACCAAAACACCAGGAAATTAATTAATGTGTGCACTCACAGATATGAACTTTACTTGTGTGGAAAAAATGCATATATCAGGTGTTATTCTGCAATTTTTCTTGTTATCAGTTGATAGATACACAGGGATATTTTTCTTAACAAGGAACTCTGTACCAGATTTCATATGAAAGGAATTAGATTTGTTTTCTGTTTGTCATTCAATTCCAGACATAATAGCCTTCTACTTACTGTGTATTATAATTATGTAGAGTAAGATTATATGACTTGATTATAACCCTGGTCTGCAGTACAGCCAAGAAAATTTATACCAAATGGTTTAGTGCTAAATAAAAGTCACTGACTGGTAATAGTGAAAAGAGTAAGTATGACCATTTGCTTTTGGTTTTGCTTGACTTCCAATTTATGTTGCATGGCACTCAGGTCTGGATAAACGGATGAACTGCTGGGAAAAGTGATGCTAACTGGTTAGACTATCAGAGAAAAAAAAGGCCTTGGATTCCTTTGACCTATTTTTTATTATTTTCAGTATCTCTTGAAGGAAGGAATAGCCAAGTATTCTTAGTTTTATTATCTCTGAAAAAATTATAACCTTAATGTAAACCATGATTAGGCTAATGAAGACAGACAACTTGGCTTTAGGAGCACTTCAAAACTCTGTGCTTATAACATAGGGTTGCAAGCATTCCTATGCAGGCTTGGTTCCACATGTTATCTTCTCCCTTTATTCTCTGTTATCTTCCGTGAATATCACTAGGTTCTCAGGTAGCCACAGGGACCTTCACTTCTGTTTGGAAGACTGCAGAATGAAAAATGGGAAAGATGATTCTGAGGGCAGCTTTGGAGATTCTTTAGACAGCATAGGCAGAGCCACTGAGGCAGTCAGTGAGATAGGAAAAAGTTCCACAAGCAGACTACTAGTGAGGTGATTTTTTTTTCCCTTAGATGACACAAATATATAATTGAACATCACTTTCAGTAATATATTAATTATTTCATGGCTATGCAGTGTGACAAAAGCTGGAAGTTGTATGGAAGATTCTGACCAGTAAAGGTACAACTAATAAAAAATTTTCACCTTTCCAACTTGTTTCAACCTTTAAAATATCTTTAATTGAAATACCTTATATTTTATCCAGTACATAAAGCCAAAATTTTTCTTTTCCAGATAGCATCAGTTATGCCAAAAGGGAATTTAAACCAGACAGGTTTGACAAAAGACAGTGAGATAAAAATGTTGATCAGAAATGCATTGTAAGTTATGAAAACAAATATTTCCATTGATTGCAGGAACTACTAAGCCAAATTTTCAGACTTGGCCACCTGAAGCATGTCATATTTTCTCATCTATTTCAATGCTGTTTTCTTAATTCATTGTATCATTCTTTAAATTCTAATGAGATTTAATATCCTGGCTGCAGTAAGGCAGGAAATGTCTTACACACTTGGAAGATCCAACTTGTGTCTAAGGAAGATATAGTGAGAAATAATAGAAATCAAGTGTAAAAAATTACCAAACTGTTGATGGACAGATGTGTTATTATTGAATAATTTTCTTGATGATTTCTTAAATTTTAAATTAATTGTGACACTTGCCTTTTTCTCTACCTAGACTGGTTTATAGAACTTTGTGACTTAAAATAAGCCAAATTACTGCCACCTATAGCTTGTCAGTCAACTCCCAAGATTCACAACCACAGTAGCTCAGAAATGTTTTTAATTCCTTCACTTTCAAATTACTACTTGTGAAAAAAAATCAGTAAATTTTCAGAGACATTCAATTCAATATTTGCAGTCATACTGAAAAGAGAGCTTGCTTTAGGAAGCCAGCATGCCAGAAATGGTGGGGAGAGGAGAAGGTGAGTGACTCTACCTGCCTTCAGTTTTGGCATTTTACTGAAGAAAAAAACTGCTTACACTTTTCTAGCATTTTGGAGTTTACACACATTGGTTTTCCTTCACAAAGTTTCATTTTTTTTAATTGAGCGAGTTTCCAACTCTTCAATCTTTTTTAATGTATTTGGGGTAGAGATTTCTGTCACACAGAACTCACTTTTGCATTAAGATCCCTGAGATATGCCGAAAAGCACAGCAACTATGATCCCTATTTTAAGTTAGTATTAAGCACTTGTAAAAGACTAGTGAAGTAAAACCCTTCCAAAAAGTTATTTAAATACCTTCAGTTTTATCCTTACTTCCTCATTCTTTATCTCTGCCACACCACAGTCAACCGTGAAGTCATAAATATCTAGTTAGATATCTCTTTGTGTTCTTGCTTAGTACAATCAAGAGTAGTCCCAAATACATATAATCTGTACTGGATTTTTTGTACCACTTTATTAAGGATTGATATCTATCTAGAGTTTAGGATACTGCCATGAATAAGAGGACTACCTTTCTTTCCATCATGAGAGAAGAAAACATTAGGAAAGTTTTAACAGATTTCTAGTAGCAAAATCCGTTAAAGAGACGCCAGAATCTGTTTAAGTAACTGTCTAATCAAAGCTCTTTTTTTTGTAATATCTAACGAGAAATGCTGTGTGCTTGACCTAATTTGTTTGAACCATTACTGAAATCTTTAATTCAGGTGCCATATCTACTTAGGTGAGAGGCACACTGGACAGACTACTAGAATGAGGTGAATGCATAAATCAGTTCTAATATGGCAGTCCCTTCTTAGGAGATTCCCAGCAAACCAGAAGCTGCAGCTGCATGTACTCAGCTGGGCCTTCTATTATACCCAGGAGTGAAATAAAGGTTAATCAGCAACTGAGCTTACAATTGGAAGCGAGCTTAGTACAGGGTATTGGATCTGTTAGGAGGTACAGGCTGTCTCTCTCTGAGGATGACGGGAAAGTGAGAGAAGAGCTATTATTACTCTGTGTGGTCCCGAGCATCTCAGAGGATGCTCTGCATATCCATTCTTACTTTAAAAGAGAGTGTCATGACAGATCAGAGCACTATGATCTAGATGGGAGCCAGGCCGTATTAAAGGCGGATAAACTGTCACACTTAGGCTCATGGTAGAATGTAATCCTGTTAAGAGTTTCTCTACAGTATCACGTCACCTGGCATAATTGAAAAGAAATCAGTCTTGACTGAAATATGCCTGTGAGATAGAAAACCATGAACAGTGGGGTACCTAATCTTACTGTTTCTATAAAAGGACAATATATTATAAGCTATATTGCAGTATTACGTTTACATATCTTTAAAATTTGAGCTCATAATGATAAAAAGGATGTTTCAGGGTCTCCTTTTTTTATCTCCAGCTGTTTGAACCTTGAGGCTGATACCTGATGATGCTCTAAACAAATACAGTATTCTGCAAGTGCAAGGTTGAAGGGTTATAACAGTTTGACTTCTAAGGATGCTTTCTACACTACTAGTCCATAGAATTCCCAAACGTAGCACCAGGGACATGTTATAAACTGCACAGCTGTATCAGAAGAACAAGGTTTTATGTATGACCAAAGTAAGTTTCTTTCTGAATGACCTGAATGTTCTTAATTTGTTTAAAGAAATATTAATATAATAATAAAAATAAAGAATATATAATAAAAAAAAAAAACTACCTTTTTGAAACAGGATTTTTGATTCACTAAAATTCTATTTTCTTGAAATCCTAGCCTGAGCTTTGATCTGGATAAACAAAACCTGAAAAATTATTGTGCTTATGTCACTGCAATTTAAGACCCTGAGATCTGCAGATGCTTTGTACTTGCCAAAGCTGATATCCTTCATTAAGTCCAAATGCATATGGGGGGCAAGGGAGGGCGACAGTCATTGGAAACAACATATAACAAGACAAAATAACATCAAATAACACAGTCCCTTTCATTGCATACTTTAGAGAGTGGGAATGTTTGGTTAGAGATCTGAATAATAAATAGTAGCTGGAAACATAAAAAGTATGCTTACAAGCTGAAAATACACATTAAGAAACTCAGCTATACTAAAGTTAACATGCTTGTTTATGTAGCCATTCACAGATAACTGTGTAGCAAAATTAAAAGCCATATCTAACCTTTATGGTTTCAAAGGAAGTGCTCTGCAAAACTGCCGTAGTTTGAGATGATCTCCTAAAATAATAACTTAGCAGATGTGAGCCTGTTTCATTTAGTGGAAAGCAAGTTGTGGAATCTATTGACAGCACAATTCACATCAGAACCAACATCAATATGATAGTTTTAGCAAGTACATGTCTTACAGCACAGAATCTTAGATTCATGGACTACCATACTTGTTTAAAAGACTCTCCTCATAAGTCTCTAATTCACTAGAGTGAGGCAAAATAATCTGGCATTGTGTATTAATTTGGACAATATATGTAATGGTATTACAGAAATAGAAGCAGAATATTCCAGAGTCTGGTAGAAAATGAAAAAAACGCAAGAGTGTAATTAAATAATACAGCCCAGAGTCTACTCTGTCAGGCATCAGTGAATAATAGTCATTGAAGTCAGTGGTTCTGCAAAAGAAAAATAATTACCTGAGCAAAAATTTCCAGTTAAATGGTTTAGATTTTTGGGTTGTTTTTGGTTCTAAAGTTTTAAACAGACTGTGAGAGGACAAAGACTGGAGGTATAGTATGCAAATGAAAGTAATAGATCTAGCCTTCACTGAAGTCACTGAAAGTCCTTCAGTCATTGCAATGACTTTGTATCAAATCTATTTCAAGACTATTTAGCAGTAATATTAAGCTAATGTTTAATATTAATGCCTTTTTTCCCTTCTTTTTTTTTTTTCTTCCCTGAAATCTATAAAGAGATTATAAGCCTTAGAAGAGTCTTCTAATGGGCTTGATCTTCCCTATTAAACGTTTCATGCTATTCAGCTTTTTGTTTTCTCTTTCATTTTACAGGCAGACCAGATCTGGCAGATAGTGAATATGAGGACTTTGCTGACTTCAGAAAGCTGACAGAAGCCAACAGACTTCAGTGAAATACACCTCCAAGCACAGACTTTTGGTAGCTTTAAAGTAACCTGTGGTTCATTTGCAAAGACATGGCTACTGGTTCTTTCAGCACACATGGAGGAAGACAACAAACATTGTAATCCTGGCTCATAAAGACTGTGTTTTCCTTATCAGAATAGGAGGCAGACCAATTATAAAAAGATTATTTTATGCTTAGCCTCCAGGACTTTAACTCTGGCCTGAACACTGGACAAAAATAGAAGCCAATTTTAATGACCTGAGATTTTGTTACCTGTGCGCTATTATTGTTATCAGTTCTTAAACACTTTGGTACTTTATTTCTTTAAATTAGACATGGGTTTGTGGACTAAAATGTGGCCCACAGATTGGGCTCTTCTCATGAAATCATGGCTTATCTTTTCCCTGGGGCTCTACATACAGGTCTCCAAAACTTTGGCCTGCCCAAAAGTTTGCCGCTGTGACCGAAACTTTGTCTACTGTAATGAACGAAGTTTGACCTCAGTGCCTCTTGGGATACCGGAGGGTGTAACCGTCCTCTACCTCCATAATAACCAAATTAATAATGCTGGATTTCCTGCAGAGTTGCACAATGTCCAGTCTGTGCACACAGTCTACCTGTATGGCAATCAATTGGATGAATTCCCCATGAACCTGCCCAAGAATGTCAGGGTTCTCCACCTGCAGGAAAACAACATTCAGACCATTTCACGTGCTGCTCTTGCTCAGCTTTTGAAGCTGGAAGAACTGCACTTGGATGACAACTCCATCTCCACTGTTGGCGTTGAGGATGGGGCATTCCAGGAAGCCATCAGCCTCAAGCTTCTGTTCTTGTCCAAGAATCACTTAAGCAGTGTGCCAGTAGGCCTTCCGCTGGACTTACAAGAACTTCGTGTAGACGAAAACCGAATTGCTGTCATTTCAGACCTGGCCTTCCAGAATCTTACAAGTCTGGAGCGTCTGATCTTGGATGGCAATCTCCTCACTAATAAAGGCATAGCTGAAGGCACTTTCAGTCACCTCTCTAAGCTCAAGGAATTCTCAATAGTTCGGAATTCACTGACTTACCCTCCTCCCGATCTTCCAGGTACACATCTGCTAAGACTTTACTTGCAGGACAACCAGATAACCCATATACCACTTACAGCCTTTTCAAACCTCCACAAACTGGAACGTCTTGATATTTCCAACAATCAGCTTCGGATGTTGACAAAGGGAGTATTTGATAATCTCCATAACCTGAGACAACTCACTGTAAGGAATAATCCCTGGTTATGTGACTGCAGCATTAAGTGGGTCACTGAATGGCTCAAATTTATTCCTGCTTCCATCAATGTACGTGGTTTTATGTGCCAGGGACCAGAGCAGGTCCGAGGTATGGCAGTCAGGGAGCTCAATATGAATATGTTGTCATGCCCCACCACCACCCCTGGTCTGCCACTTATCATCACCCCAGTCCCAGCTACAACCATGCCGACTACATTAGTTCCCAGCCCATCATTTCCTCCCTCAAGTAATAAATATAATCCTCTCACTCCCATCATAGCCACACTCCCCACTGTGCCTGACAGGGAGGACAGAGAAAGGGTGACACCTCCTTTGTCTGAATGGATTCAGCTCTCCATCCATTTTGTGAATGACACTTGCATCCAAGTCAACTGGATGTCACTTTTTACCGTGATGGCATACAAACTCACATGGGTTAAAATGGGCCATAGTCTGGTAGGAGGAATAGTTCATGAACGAATAATTAGTGGGGAAAAGCAGCAATCAAGCTTGGTAAATCTGGAGCCCAAATCCACTTACCGGATTTGTTTGGTTCCACTGGATACTTATAACAACTACCGGACTGGAGAAGATACTGTCTGTTCAGAAGCCACCACCAAGGCTTCCTTTTTCAATGGCAGCAACATCCCTTCCAGCCATGAGCAGACGACTTCTCAGAATCTGGGCTCCCCATTTCTGCTGGCAGGGTTGATTGGGGGTGCAGTGATATTTGTCCTCGTGGTCTTGCTCAGCATTTTTTGCTGGCACATGCACAAAAAAGGTCGTTACACTTCCCAGAAGTGGAAATATAACCGGGGCCGTCGGAAAGACGACTACTGTGAGGCAGGGACCAAGAAGGACAACTCCATCCTGGAGATGACGGAAACCAGCTTCCAGATTGTCTCCTTAAATAATGATCAGCTCCTTAAAGGAGATTTCAGACTGCAGCCCATTTATACCCCAAACGGGGGCATTAACTACACAGACTGCCACATCCCGAACAACATGCGATACTGCAACAGCAACGTCTCAGACCTGGAGCACTGTCATACGTGATAGTGAGGGACCATGGGGGTCTCTAGGACAAGGAGAAAAAACTCTAGAAAAAATAAGCCCCCCAAGAATAAAGAAAAAAATTACATTTGATAAATGTTATACAGATGCATTTATGCATTTGAATACTCTGTAATTTATACGGTGTACTATATAATGGGATTTAAAAAAAAAGTGCTATCTTTTCTATTTCAAGTTAATTGCAAATGGTTTTGTAACTCTTTGCTTTTTAAATCTTTAAAAACTATTGCTAAGTACTGTACAGGGTTGTACAATAAGAACCCAATGTCATGGCAAAGGAAAGAATGACTCATTCTTCAAACATTAACCACTTTGCTGTCGAAGCAGTCTGAGGGATGTTAAGTTTCTAGGTGTCCTGGAATACAGGAAAATAAGTGCATATTTAAACAGGGTCACTAGGAACAGACAAAGACAATTCAGATAAAATGGGCACAATCCTTCTGACATGAACCCAGCAGTTGCTGTTGAGCTTCAAACAATTGGAAATACATCCCTTCTTCTTTGTCAGGTCTGCACTTCTCACCTCCAACTGAAAGCTGGAGTACTGAGAGCTGCCAAAAAAGCTACTCTCTTGTTTGATTAGTTTTCTTTCAATCTACTTGCAATAGGAAACATGGAAAGAACTCCGTGTCAAACTCAAAGTGACCTTGATTCCTATTTGCAAAAGTTGCTCTGAAAATATCCCCAATACTACATACTTTATCTCAGAAACTGTTTGTGCTTTTCATTAGGATTAAGAAGCCTTAGGCGTTCACTGACCCTTCTCAGTGAGAGGTGAAGGTTATGTAAGAATATGTAACAGAGAGCTGTCTTTAAGTTGCACCTCTTAATAGAGCATCATTTGTTATCATAGCATGTTCAGGTAAAGACAGAATGAGGGAAATTCTGAGTGCTCCCAGCTCTGCAGTATTCATGTACGTGTTCATGTTAATTTGAAATCAAAAAGTGTGTATTGCTGAAAACATGGTGCAAAATATAATGGCAATAGAAAGATTTTGCTAATAATTTGTATGGTTCAAGCCTTGTTTGATCTAAGGGCCTGAGTTATGTTCAGTGTGGAGAAATAGGGGAAAGAAAGACAAAAGAGAAAACAAACAATAAATACATTGTAAAAAATTATTTAGTATTGGGAAGACCTTGAGGGCTTTTATAAACTGAAATATCTTCAGTGGGGAAAATCATGTACAAATCTTTGTGGGTTTTGTTTGTTGTTTGTTTTGCTTTTTTTCCTTCCCAATTAAAATATACAGAGACTGACATTAGCTAAGCATTTGATTGACTGGGAAATTTTGAGAACACAGGTACACAGTGTCCCTCTGAATTACCCTTCTTTTACCTTAAGCATTTTGAAGTTTTCCGTAATGATTTCTGCTTCACAAGCAGTAGCTGGGATTAGAATTTGCTTTTTTATACCCTCAGATTCTTCACAGTCCTTGAGCTTTACGTGCACTATGCAAAATATCATGCTTGTATTAAAACCATAATGCAGCTCTCAAAATTAGGTAATATTGCAGCCACTCTGCTAACTCAGTGACTGCCAAGAACTGTGGTGCAATCTCATTATTTAGGGGTTTTCAATTTACTTTTTAATGTAGCTAATTTTCTCCTGAGTTTGGGGCCAAGCTAAAACTACATCACAAAGAAAAAAAAAAAAAAGAAAAAAAAAAAAGAGACAAAACTTCCCTGTGGTAGTAGGGAACCAAAGAGAGAAAGTTTTACAGTGATCACCTAGGGATAGACAGAAAGTTACTCCATGTGGATTAGAAGATTAGAAGTAAAGGCTGAAGCACTTTCATAGTGGAATGCTTAGACTTTCCGCTTTATGAAGCTCCTTTTGCTGGGAGAGAAGGTTTTAATCCTTTCCTTCACTCATTTCACTCAACCCATTCTTGAAACTCAGCAGTCTATGAGCATGTATTTTCTGTAATTCAGATCACATGATAACACTAATTTTCTGCAATGACAAAACAAACCCAGTTATGATTGATGGCAAAGTATGACCATTTTGTAAGGAACCACATCCTGCCACCAACACCTTTTAAAAAAATCACATTTTGAAATTACAGTCTAATTTCTATATATTTGCTATTTTCTCCAGCTATAGCAGGTATTCTAAGCAACCTTGTGGCTACTGTAATAGTTAAGTCACTACAATGTTGGATTAAAAGTTTACCATATGATTTCAAATAGCATAATTCTAGGTAGAAAAGTCTATGCAAAGTGGATGGTTTTTTTCTGTCATCTATTTACTGTCATCTAAAGGTTTATACTTTTGGGCTTTGGTTTTGGTGGTTTCTTTTTTGTTGTTGTTTGTTTTGTTTTGTTTAACATATTTTAGATGCCACAGCTCAAAGGACAAGCAGCAAACAGTTGTGCTTCTGCACACTTCTGTTGAATGCTGGAGTTCGCTTGAAGTTAAGCAGAGCCAGTGATTCCCATTGGGTGTGGACATAGTATTTAATTTCAATGAAATAACTGGTTGTACATTTGGTTTCAAAAGGCCTCCTTTGAAAATACAAACTGAATAGTATTTACTGATGCAGGAGGAATCTCCAGTTCTAGACCTCAGTATACTACAGGCACCTTATTTGTGGCAATTGACTTATTCAGGGAGTTTGGCCTGTACTGCAGGTGAATGATCCAGAAGCCCAACCTGATGACAACAAATCTGGTTACTTATAGATAGGGTGATAACAGAAGGCATTCACAAACCGTTCATTTCGATCTTGAATGATAAAACATATATATGTATGTTTATATATATATGTAGACTATGACTCGCTTACCTAGATCAAAAATCACAATGATATTAAAGATATCATACTTTATGTTTCTCTTCAATATGAAAAAAAATCAATTTGTATGGGATACTGACAAAAGTTTCTTTACTATGAAGGCTCTTCTGAGAAAACATAGCTAGCACCTTGTACTGAAATTTGTGGATAGAGCTGGGAATATTATCTAAAAAATTCAGAGTTGTAGTCAACTGAAAGGTCATATCTGGAATTGGAAGAATTTTCTCCCTATTTAATTGTTCCTTAGCTCCAAAAGAGTTAATGTATTTGAACCCACAATTGAAATTGAGATTTCTAAAAGTGTCAATGACACAAACATCTGAGATTTCATTTCAGTTCCCACCTAGATAAGCCCTTAGTGAGCAAATTTCACTAGGTCAAGTATGTAGAAAAAGTCAGAGTTAAAAATGGACAGTGATCTTTTGGCAATAAAAAGTTTAAGACTCATAGCTGTTTCCTTGGGCTTTGTAAAACTGGGGAGATCTTCGCTTTGGATAGATATCTGACTACATATAATAACTAAAGGCTATAGAGCAGAAGTGCCAAATATGTACACGTGCAACTCATTCAAAATGTTCACTTTTAAGTCCTGATTTGGTCAAGTTCATTGGATCTAGGGACAATTTTTTTTTCAGACAAAATCTCACCCATCTTCCATTGTATACTGCTAATAGTTGACATAGACATGCAGAAAGATTGGTGAGTAGAATAAAAGAAGCATTTTAGTGAAATTTTGTTAAAGAAGTATCACGACACTGCTGTTCCCAGTACTTGGCTTCCTTCTGAAGACGTATGTATTTACAAACAGGTCCTTATTTTCATGGATTGTGTCACTTTAATAAGTGCTACTTGCATGTGGCTTGCTGGCAGAAACAAACACCTGATTAATGCATGGACTTTGTGTTAACAGGTTCTTATTGGAACATTATTACCGAATTTCTTTATAAGAATATTTAGGGAATAAGCTACTTTGATCTGAAAAGATACTCGCAGTTTTCCATGTAACCCAATAAAGGACTACAGTGAATATCATGTAAAACAGAAAAATGAAGTAGCATATGATATTTGCTAGTAGAGTAGTTCAACTATATTTTTCTCTGAACAATTTTCTTTTTTTCATGAGAACAAGTTTCCCCCTCTGAAAAAATTATTGATTTCAATTTTGCAAACAGAAAAACTTTATGCATATTGATAATATTGTTTTAAGGGTCTACATAAGGCACTTTATTAATGGCATTGAAGTAAAAGTTCAGTCTCAGCTTTTGACAGTAAAGTGGTTAATTCCCATTGAATTCTACATTTATAGTACTTCTTCACTTTAAATTTAACATGGAGATATTAAAGTTTTTTTCTTTAGAACATGAGAATAATGGTTTTACACATGACTTATCTTTACAGCTCAGTGGAAAAACAAAACAGAAGTGAGTGCCAAAACCAAAAGTTACTGGCTCTGAACCTCATCAAATCCTGCCTGATGCTCTCTTCTAAACACAGAGATAATCCTAGGAAGCTGATGATCACTCCTTCCCTGAACTCTATTGAACAGGGCACTCTGTATCCCAGATGATACTACAGGCAATATTGAAGCATTTGGCATTAAACTTTTGTACAGCAGAGAATGTTTTATTCTTTAAAAGGACGCTGGCTAGTAGTCCATACGGAAAACTAGCACAGAAGAGATTTGGCAACCTTTTATTACACTGGGGCTCTGTGGAAATGTGCCTCATGAGAGCTGAATTGTGATCCTCCCAGAAACAGATAAGCTACTAAACAAATTGTTATCATGAGTTGATCCCAAATATCTGAAGATGATCTTTCATAAAATTGATTTAAACTGAGATATGCACACTTGATTCTGTTCTGTGTTTGGTATACTTTCTATCTTTAACATGGAAAAGTAGATGGTTTGAAGTCTGCGTTACCTGTTTTCTGCAATCTGCCATGTTGCACGCATTGTTAACTTCAAAACCTCACTATACACTATATATTATCTTGTTGACATATTCAGTAAAGAGTTATTTAAAAAATACAACAACTTTGCTGTATTTATATTAGCAAGTTAATTAAAATAAGGATGTGGGTGTCTGAAAGGGAAAAAAAATATCCATCTTTTGTACTTTCATTCATGGAGACATTTTCAGATGTTCTGCAGAGACTTCTGTCTGTTCAATCCTATCTTCAGTTTCTAAAAGAAAAATATTATTTGTCTCTCAAAGAGTTAAATAATTTTTTACCTCAGTTTCTCAGATTTAATCTTATCTTTAAAAAGTTATCTCTTCCTAATATGCATATAGAAAAACAATGTAAAATAAGAACAGACTGTACTCCAGTGTTTGCAATTAATAGATACACTTAAGGAGCTACACATGCCAATAACAAATATATATATGTGGAAGCCATGACTCATTATATGCACAGACAGTTGATAAATGCATTTGACATTTATGACATGACAATCAAGAATCTGACTTCTAATGATTGTTATCTATTTAATCTGTTTCCTTGACATGAAATATGACTTTTTTTCCAATTCTCCCTTCAAAATTGTTCTTGAATTTTCAGAATGCACAACATTCATACATAAGCCTTAATAAATTTTTGTATAAAGCAAATCTTATACATAACATATATGGTAATATATACTATATATAAAGAGATGGTTTAGCTGTTTAGAAATAGAAATTGCCCCTCTTCTACTTCCATATACAAGAGCTAATTTTTTGCTTTACTATAAAGTGAGATGCTGAGTGCTGTGTTATTTCAAAGCTTAGAAATTTAATATTGCTGAGTGTCACAGTTCCTCAACAAATTGTCTTACTCTCTTTCTTAGTCCTGAGTATCATGTAAAACTCCCTAGGGCCGGTGTGCTCCACACCTAACCCTGCCTCTTTACCCTTGTCATATGCCTCCCCTCATTTGATGTTTCTACTGAAGCACATTAGACCCTGATAACTAAAACTACTTGCCTTACCACAGGAGGGTGGAAAAAAGAGATAATGAGGATGACAAACACCTGCCATCAGTTATGTATTTCTGACAATGAGGGAATCATCATTTTCAATTGATAGTATTTTCTGTCAAAAAAGGAGTCTACAACCACTGACTTCATCAGGTGATCTTTTAATAACCCAAAATTATTTATTTTAGCAAAGATAAAACTTTATTTTTAATACTTCTAAACTCAGTTTTCTGGAATTTTTCATTCATGTGCAATTGTGTATAAATTTCTTGTGTATAGAGGATTTAACTACAAAGATCTCTCAAAGAAAGCACATGGACAAGTATTTTTCATTATTGTTCAGTCAAAATTTTTAATATTCCACTTAAAAAAGAGTTCTTCCATTGAAGAAGCTTTATGGTACCATGTGGAGAAACTGCATTCCACCATTAAAGTAGGTAACAAATATTTTAGTTCTACTTGAAATGCCACCGTCAACAAAGGCTGGAGCAAAATTACTAAAGTACTTCCATTACACAGAGAGAGACTTGGTGAATTTTTTACCAATAATTGCCATTCCTGAAAAAAATTAGCACATTTTTATGGTGAAATCCTGATGCCACTGCCTCTCAACTATAAATCACAATCATATATAAAACAAGGATTATTAAAAATATGCAATATGACACATTGAATAGCACATCACACTATGTATTCCCAAATGAAATACATCAACTGAATAAGGCAGTAGGCCCATGCCTCTTTTATGAAAAGCTGGGAAAGCTGTGAAAAAGACTGTGCAGAAAATAAGGGGGGAGCTAATATGTTCTGAGCAACACTGGCCAATATAAAGCCATGGAAGAGAAGGACATTTAAAGCCACAAATGGGCCTTTGGGCATAGCAAGAATATTCTTTTTTCACATAAACACATGCTTTTTTTGATTATAGCTTCATATTATGGCTAAATTGTGACCAAAAAATGCATGTATGAATACTCAGAAAGAAAAAAGAAAAGAAGAAAGGAAGAGAGAATGTGATTTGACTAGAAAGTCAAACAATTTAAGCAACGGTTTTATAATCCTGACCTCATATATTTTCACAAACTGCTTTGGGCATTCAAATTATGTATTGGTTAGGAACCAATACATAATTCATTGCTTTCTGACTTACAGTGGAAATGATAGGAATTTCTCACCATTTAGGAAACATGTTAAGAACATTTGAGAGTTGATGTGAAGTCAAGTTCTGCAGTATATGCTGATGTGAACAATGATATTTATTCAAGCAGGGCATTAGCAGGTGTTTGTAAGTGAGGACTGCAGAAGCAAGACATGCACGTTATTTCATTTCCAAGAAAACTCCATACCCGGCAGAAAGCACGCATGAGTTACCAAGAAGAGATGACTTAGAAAAACAAACAAGTACAAACCTAAGTGGAGATATGACATAATATTATAGTTATTTTAATAGTATAGTACAGTTAAGTAATTTAGGCAATTAGAAAAAGGGTTAATTAAAAGTATTGAATCTTTTCATGTTTCCCATCCCTAGGAAGATATATTCAATTTCCAGTTAACAAGAAATACATTTAGACAGATTTTTACTTACATCTTCATTGGAGGTTAGATTTCAAACCAGTGTTTTCTTTTTTTTTAAATTGGTCATGACATGTATTTGAAGTCTTTGCATGAACTGATTTATTTTATCAGCTATGAAGAGTTTGAGGAATAAACTATGTGCAATACTTGCTTTCATGAGAAACAAGTACCAAGTATATGGCTAGCACTTTCTGATTTTGTTTTGGCTTTCCTTTTTATAATTTAACTTTACAAAAATGAAGCAAATTTGAAGTAGAGCAAATTTTAACTATTTTCTGCTGTAATTTCAGCAGTAAGACTGTGTAGTCTTACTATCAGAGGACAAAATTTAAGAATACTAAGTTAAGAAAAATTATCTTAAATAATTTTGATATCAATTTTCAGTTGAATTAATTATTTTTCAACATTTAGTTACAACATTTAGTCGTGGTGAGAATTTGAGCTAGATACATTTTCTAAACTCAGGTTTGTGGTTATAGGAACTTTGGCTTCATAGGTTCTGTTTTACAGATTATTATTAGCAGCTGTACAAAGAGAAGGGAACAAAGGTTTCTTCTTCCTTAAAGTATCAGATTTCTTTCTGTAGAGATTGAGGAGGAAATACAGCTACTTCACAGAGATCTTCCTCAAGAAACAAGGTGGCCAGAACAGAAGGAAAGTACATGCAGTCATGGCATTTCTCTTTGATGACTTCAGAAGCTGGCAGAAGTAGAGCTGAATCATATTGTGAGGGATGCAGCAAATTACAGGTGTTCTGCATTATTATATAGGACATCAGAAAAATTCAGATATTTTCTACATCATTATCATTACTGTTGACTTTCTATGTTTTGGTTTTTTTTTTCCTCTGTGGTCTATATTTCTTTACCTGTGTTTGACAGTTTTTCCTTGTCGTAGGAGCTGCCTTTTAATTCACTCTTCTGCTTCATGAAGATCCTGATTTTTCTACAGGATTTTTGTGTAATGCCCCAAAAGGGCACTTCTGTTATATGTGAGCAAATGCATTTGTGTGTAGCAGCCCAAAGGGAGTTTTCATTGCCACTCATTCTCCTCAGGTCATTAATTTAACTGTTTGAAAAAGTTCTTTCAGAGATGAGCCACACAGCCAGTGTGCCATTACAGGAAAACTTAGAAATTTGGTGGGTAATATTGCTTTAGTGTTTTACTTTGGAGTAATAGTGAATGAACTGATATAAGTAGTGAAGTTCCACTAACAGACTACTCTGAACATCAAAGCTGCTTTAGTATTTGGAGCAGGGGTAGAGACAGAGAGATACATTTGAAAGACAGAAATCCTGCAAATAAAAATGACTTTTAAATAAATATGAGCCAAAATAAAAGAGTTCTGTTCAGACCTAGGATACCAAAAAATTGTGGAAAATATAAAGATGCAAAATTTTCTTCTATTGTTTTCTCTATTTGTGGGATTCAATTAGGGTTGCTGCTTATTTTAAGTGACTAAATTAATACACTGTTAGAAAATCTTTGCCTGGGTTGAGAAAAATTCTTTGTTTCATACATTTCCATTAAAGATTTAAATTTTCTTTTTCAATTTTCTTCCCCGAAGAAACTAGTGTCTGCTGTGTTGCAGTGAATTCAGAAAGCTGCATGCTTGTGAGTTAAAACAACATATCACAGTAGACATTCCTCCACCTTGCTTTAGAAGACAAATTGTTTAGAGAAACATTTCTTCAAGCCCTAATAATCCAGCAAACAGTTGGATCGGGGGAAAATTTAACAATGTTTGAAAGACTGACGTTAATTTGAAGTTGTAAAGAAATTCACTGTCCACTGAATGCTTTCTTTTCATTAATTCTAAAAGATGACATGCACTTATTTCATTTTAGATTTAGACAGCTGATGAAGGATAAGTG